AAAAAAAAAAAAAAAAAAAAAGGAACATGCTGGGTGCATTAGAAACTGTCCTTGTGCTGCGGGCAGCAGTTGCCATGTCACTGAAGAATGGTGGCAAAGCCCAAATGGAAAAGGAGGCTCCTGTACGTGTGTCTTCCAACCCAAAAGAACAGAAAGCCAGGTCCCTCATTGTCCCCTGACCTGTGATCTAGACAGTGTTCCTCCCTCCCTCCTGCTGAAGGCCCTGAAGACCACGTGACATCGCCTGCCACTGTGGGATTCTCACGCTCCCCTGGTCCCCACCTCCTGGCACCACCTGTGGATGGGTCCTGACAGGTGTAGGGGGAGAACAAAGCGTTATTCTAAGGGTGGGGAATTTCACTCAGCGGCAAACGTTTGTTGCGTGTCAGCTTTGTCTCAGACACCATACAATATGCCTTTACGTTCATTCCATTTCATCCTTGTGACAATCCTGTGAAATAGGAATTCCCATGTCCACTTAAGAGATGAGGAAACTGAAGCTCGGAGCGACAGGGAACACACAACTGGGGAGAGGCCGAGATGGTTCTAGAACATTCGTCCTTTGGCATCAAGGGGAGTACATAGGAATCTCTAGTATGCTACTGGGAGGTCCAGACACTCAAACGTGAACTTGCTTCTCTCCCTAGAGAACTACCAGATTTAGCATATAAAAGGGTACGATGTTTAAATTTGAATAGAATTTCATACAAATAATGAATACTTTTTTTTTTCGAGACAGGGTCTTGCTCTGTTGTCCAGTCTAGAGTGCAATGGGGGGATCACAACTCACTGCAGCCTCCACTTCTTGGGCTCAAGTTATCCTCCCACCTCAGCCTCCCAAGAAGCTAGAACTACAGGTGTGCACCACCATGCCTGGCTAATTATTTTATTTTATTTTCGTAGAGATGGAGTCTCACTATGTTGCCCAGGCTGGTCTGAAGCCCCTGTGCTTAAGCAGTCCTCCCACGTTGACCTCCCAAAGGGCTGGGATCATAGGTGTTAGACACCATGCCTGGCCGACAAATACATATTTTTTGGGTGTATGTTTCATGCAATATTTGGGATGTACTTACACTAAACAGATATTGATTGTTTGTCTGAAGTGTCCTGACCTGGCTGCACTGCTTCCGGGTGAAGCTTGTAGTTGGTTTAATGCTGAAGGAGCTGTCATTTGCCGAGGCTGGGATGGGATTCAGCTCTGCTCATGAACTCTGCGGGCTCTCCAGAACTTTCTGAAATCAGCCTCACCATCCACAGCTGTGGTTACCAGGACCATCAGCCTGAGGAGAATCAGCTCTTCCACACTGAGACCTGAAGACCACATGGCAGAGTGAACTGGAGCTGGGTACTAGCAGGCCTCTTAGGTGGGGCATGCACCCCGCAGTGTCCCATGTCCTCATTGTTCCCTGTGGCCCATGTCCCCATTGTTCTCTGTGGCCATATTCATTCCACTTGACTTACTTTTACCCTCTGTCCAGCTCCTCGTTGGCATTTTCTTTTTCTTTTTGTTTCTTTTTGAGACGGAGTCTCGCTCTGTCACCCAGGCTGGAGTGCAGTGACTCAATCTCAGCTCACTGCAACCTCCGCCTCCCAGGTTCAGGTGATTCTCCTGCCTCAGCCTTCCAGGTAGCTGGGATTACAGGCGCCTGCCACCAGGCTCAGCTACTTTTTGTATTTTTAGCAGAGACGGGGTTTCACCATGTTGGCCAGGCTGGTCTCGAACTCCTGACCTCAAGTTATCCACCTGCCTCGGCCTCCCAAAGTGCTGGGATTACAGGCATTAGCCACCAAGCCCAGCAGGCATTGAGTTTTCAACTCTTCATCTACACCATATGTCAGAGCATCTCCTTCTTCTTGCAAAGACAGCAAAAATACCGAGGCTTCAATTACTTACCCTCCTCTATTTCTATCTTATTCCCGCTCCCTCCCTGTCACCATTTCCAGGCACCAATGCCCACGCACACGTTGTAGGAAACAGCTAGTATGTGGCTGGGAGGTCCAGACACTCAAATGGGAATTTGCTTCTCTCCCTAAAGAGCTATGAGACTTAGCAAATAAAAAGGCCAGATGCACAGTTAAATTTGAATTGGATTTCATATAAACAATGAATACGTATGAGTACTTTTTTCTTTTGAGACAGGGTCTTTCTCTGTTGTCCAGGCTAGAATGTAGTGGCAGGATTATGGCTCGCTGCAGCCTCCGTGTCTTGGGCTCAAGCTAAGAGCCCTCCCCCATGGCTCAGCCTGCCTCGTCCTTGTCCCCTGACCTGTAATCTGGATGGTTCACCAGGTGCGCAGCACCTGTGTTCCTCCCTCCTGCTGAAGGCCCTGAAGAACATGTGACGTCGCCTGCCAGTCCTTGTACATGGCACGTGGCCGCCTTCAACACATCTCCAGGAAGCCCTCACTGAGAAGCCCTCTGATGCACACAGAAAATCACGTTGCAATTTAGTTGAATTTCTTCATTGTACGGGATAAGAAATGGAAAATGTGACTCTCAAGGATTACACACAACTAAAACTGTGTGAAACGGCAATGAGTACCCGGGCAACAGGGAAGTGGGAACTTCTCACCAAGCCATGCGCCAGGATCCAGCCTCAACGCTCTGCACTTCTCCAGGGTGGAACAGCACCATGCGCCTAATGAGTTCTTCTCTGACTGACTGATTGATTGATTGATTACTAAAACACTCAGCGCTCCTGGCAAAGCAGTTCTTACTCTGTTGAACAAATTATCTTTATGCACTGCAGTCTCTTGAGCTTAGATGAAGGCAAGCTCACTGTAATCTTCAGATCATTTAGCAATGTCTTGGAATCACTGGATATGAGAAAATATCCAGGCATGTGGAAGAGGAAGGGGGAAAAAAAGCAGGATGTGGAGACACTGTGTTAGTGGATTTCAACTCTACTTCCTAATCTGAACCGGGGCAGGCAAATCACTGCCTTGTAGGCCACATCTAGCCAGTGACCTGTTTTATCATTGATTGATTGATTGACGGGGTCTTGTCTTGCTCTGTCTCTCAGGCTGGAGTTGAATGGCTCGATCATTGCTCACTGCAGCCTCGAGCTCTTAGACTCAAGCCATCCTCCCATCTCAGCCTCCCACGTAGCTAGGACTACAGGTGTGCACTGTAATGCCTGACTAATATATGTCTATATACATATTTTTTGATAGAGATGGTGTCTTGCTGTGTTGCCCAGGCTGGTCTTGAACTCCTGGCCCCAAGCCATCCTCTGGCCTCGGCCTCCCATGGCACTGGGATTACAGGTGTGAGCTACCACACCTGGCCACGTGGCCTGTTTTTATAAATAAAGTTTTATTGGAACACAATCATGCTGATTATGTATGTCTGTAGCTGCTTTTGTGCTACAATGGCAAAGTTGCAACAGAAACCTCATTGCCTGCCATGCCTGGAATATTTACTATCTGGCTCTTTACAGAAAAAGTTTTCTGATCTCTGACCCATTTGACATTCCTCCTGGGCAGATATTATTATTCCCACTGAAAGAGGGGAAATGACACTTAGGTAGATTGCCCAAGTTCACCACCCAAAGGGTCGATGTGGAATTCTGTTTGATTCCAAAACCCATCATCATTTGACCAAATGTTCACAAAATAATGTCCAAACTCTCCGGCATGAACCACATCCATTTGTCCATTTCCTCTCTCCCCTGTGCCTCTCAGGTTGGCCATTTTGGACTCCTGGTTGATTTCCAAACATGTGCAACTTTAGTTGTCTGTATCTTTTTGAATGATAACTCCTTTTCATGAAATCCCCTGCCCTCCTTCTTTATAAGTCCTGCAGGATGCAGGTAAAAACTATACCTTCTCTGACTTTGTCAGAAAGAAATAATGAGAGCCAACATTCTTGAGTATTTCCTTTGAGCCATGGATTAGACTGATTACTTTGCTGTATGTTGTATTTAATTTTTCTCTTTTTTTTTTTTGAGATGCAGTTTCGCTCTGTCACCTAGGCTGGAGTGCAGTGGCATGATTTCGGCTCACTGCAAACTCTGCCTCCGGGTTCAGGCGATTCTCCATCCTGTCTCCTGAGTGGCTGAGACTACAGGCACGTGCCACCACACCCGGCTAAGTTTTGTATTTTTAGTAGAGACCAGGTTTCACCATGATGGCCAGGCTGATCTCAAACTCCGGACATCACCCACCTTGGCCTCCCAAATTGCTGAGATTACAGGCGTGAGCCACCATGCCTGGCCTTATATTTAATTTTTAAATGACAATCCTATGAGGTAGGCACTGATAGTCTCATTTTGAGGGGCCATAAATAGGTTTTGAGAGGTTAAGGAACTTGGCCAAGGTCTTAGAGCCAGGAAGGTTTGGATTCAGGACTTGGCTCGGGTCTGTCTGATGCGGAGTCTGAGCTGTTATCTCTAAGTGATGGTACAGCCCCCTGTCGCTGCTCAGGTGACATCTATAGGCCTGACTTTATAGCAGTCACTCAGCCTGGTGTGACAGTATCTGTCTTGTGGACGCCAGGAGCCCCTGGCACGCAGCCAGCATGCCCCATTTATAACTGTAGCCCAGCACATGGAAGGGACCCAAGAGAATGACAGCAACGTTGACTTTGCCATTTCAACCCTGAGCCTATTTTATTGTTCTATTCTTATTATCTGGGGGACACAATTTCCCCACATTCCTTTCTGTTGGTGCCACCACCTCTGCACCTCCGTGTGCTGCTGACCTGCCAAGCCTGCGCCCAACTCAGCACTCGGATTTTCTGTGGTCTCTCAGTATGGGTTCCTTTATCAGCATCTCAAAAAGCTTTTGTGTTTTATCCATAATTGATTAAAGGTTTGTAGCTGTGAATAAAATATTGATTAAAAGTAACAACAGCAAAACAACTCTTGTTTTTCTCCACTGTCTGCCTTTCACCAGAGGAGTCTCCCACCTCCGGAACCCGGTCCTTGATGTGATTCACACAACCTCATGAGTTTTCCTTAGATCCAAGGAAGGGAAGCGTGGGGAACAATGGTCACTTACTGATACTTACTGATATTGCAACGTCAGCAATCAGAATACCATCTGGACTTTATCTGTGGTTGGCGTGTTTCATTTTGCATTTGATGTGATGGGTGCTCAGATGTGGACAGGCCCAAACTCCCATCCTCTGGTACCCAGTGGACTCTGAAATGACCTCACCTACGACAGGGCACCGTGATTAGCAAGGTGAGGGGAGGGGCCAGACCTCAGCCCAGGAGTGGGGCTCAGGGCAGGCCCCCGGGGAGAAGCAATGACAAGCAATAGCCCAGGCTTGGTGTCCCACTCAGAGAGATGGTAGTGCCAGCAGCAGGATTCACACTCCTGTCCTCTGGTAGCAAGCTCTGCTCTCTGCCAGCCCTGACTTCAGAGCAGTGCTGAAGCTGGGCACTCCCAAGACAGACACATGGTTACTGTTTGTTTTTTTTGTTTGTTTTGAGACAGAGTCTCACTCTGTCACCCAGGCTGGAGTGCAGTGGCACAATCTCGACTCACTGCAACCACCGTATCCCAGGTTAAAGCAATTCTCCTGCTTTGGTCTCCTGGGTAGCTGGGATTACAGGTGCCCACCACCAAGCCTAATTTTTGTACTTTCAGTAGAGACGGGATTTTACCATGTTGGCCAGGCTGCTCTCGAACTGGTGACCTCAAGTGATCTGCCTGCCTCGGCCTCTCAAAGTGCTGGGATTACAGGCGTGAGCCACCACGCCTGGCCACATGTTCACAGCTTCTATTTGAAGGATCTTAAAACCACAGGGAGTGCAGCCGCGCACACCAGCCCTCTCCCACCTCCATTCCCACTCACTCACATTCCTTTCCTTATGCCCAAATCACTGGCTTAGTGTGAAAGATCATTCTATCCTGAGACTAAACAAAGGAAAAAGATACAGAGTCGCCTGGCCTCTGTGGCCTTGCATTTTAATAGAGGCTTCAAGTAACAATTACCTAGGGGATGTGTCTGAGCGGCACTGTGGAAAGGTGGAGGATTATCTACCAGCTTGACAAATGAGACATCTCTCAGGACTTTTGGAGGAGAACCAGCTCCATGCTGCAGGAGCCGTGGGGAGCTGGGCTTTACTCCCAGGGCAGGGCCTCATCCTGGATGCTGGAAGGAACCAGAAGGTTCAAGATAGAGTCAGGGGCCCGGCCACCAGTGCAGGGCAGGCCACGTGACCATCGACCATGGATACTAGCCAGGTGCAGCCCTGGGAAGGAGTTTGTGTTCTCATGGGGGGTTGCTGCTGTGCTAGGAGACGCGAGGTAAGAGGAGTCCATCCTGGGCGCAGAGTACCTGCCCTGTCTTCCTCACAGAGGAGCGTGCCATGAGACAAAGCAGCATTGCGCATGAGCCTGTGTTGCCAATAGTTTATCAGAGCCCCAGCTGTGTGGTGTAGACTCCATCGCCTTGAGGCTCAGGAGAACCAGCAAGCATGTAATACCCTGGGCTGGGTCCCGGCTGACCATGATCTCCGTTTCTGGCATCTTTTTTGCAAGTCTCCCCTTGGGTTTTTTTTTTTTTTGAGACGGAGTTTCACTCTTGTTCTTGTCGCCTAGGCTGTGCAG